CGCAAGGGGCGCCGTGGTGCACTCCACGCCCAGCAGGCAGGAGCTGTGGGCCCACCCGGGCTCCCGAGGCCCGCTTCCCGGAGAGAATGTGGTCCCAGGGGGGCCCTCACAGGAGACCGGCGCTCCCCCCGGGGGCCCGTCTCCCGAGGAAGGCCTGTTCTCCTCGGTGTGGTCTGCAGCTTCTGTGATGACAGACACGTCAGGCAAAAACAGGGCGCCCAGCCCCTCGGCCTGGCCCAGCGCCCAAAAGGAGCCCAGCTTACCTGGGAGCCCGGGGTGTTTCCGAGGCCCCTGGAAACACAGGGGTGGCACTCTGGACGCAGAGCCTGCCATCATGGACGGCGTGGCCCGGGTGGCGGCCTTGCAGCTCTGCCCGGACAGCCGGTTCGCAGCTGCCCGGGCTCTGAGGAAGGACACGGGCGGTGGGCCCTTCGGGCAGCCTCAGGCCAGGGGCCCTGAAGTTCTGCCGCAGACGCAGCCCAGCAGCTCCCCTCGCACCGCTGCCCGTGGCCTGCCCTCCCTGGCCAGCCCGCCGGACCAGAGGTGGCGCGACCCCGGCCAGGACCTGGGCCGGCGGAGGGCGGGTTCCACCAGAACGGGCGTCCCGGACTGTGTTCTCACGGAGGCCCAGCCCCTCCTGCAGCTCAGCACAGGTGGTGTGGGGCAGGTAGCAGGAGGCAGAGAGCTGGACTCCAAGCCACCCCTGGGTCCTGCTGCCGGTTGGAGCCCCCAGGGCAGTCCCCCAGAAGCCCCGGGCCTCACCCCAGGCAGCCAGCAGGAGGGAAAGCCCTCCACAAATGCCCCGGAATGCCGCTGCAAGCTCCTGGCTCACGGGGGCCTCCGTTGTGGCCGGCCAGACTTGGGGACCCGCAGGCCAGCCATGGCCGAGCCCCACCCGTAGGACAGTCTCACACTCACCAGGACTCTGTCTTTATGGCCACACTCGGAAGCGCTCAGGGCACAGATCTCTGCCCTTTGGACCTGATGTGGGACTGTGTTGGGGGGTGGCAGGACTCAGGCCTGCAGGGGGTGGGCGTTCGCATGAGCAGCCGTCCTTGCCCAGGCCCCTCAGTGCGGGCAGCCTGAGTCAAGGACAGCACGGAGCTGCCAACACCGAGCTGCCCGTCACGCAGCACGCGCAGAGAGGAGCTGGCTCGAAACGGATGGGAAGGAAATGGCGTGCCTTGTGAACGGGAGCGGGGGGGCGAGACACAGTTCCCGAGGTTGAAATCCCAAAAGTTCAAAATTCCTAAAGTCTCAAATCCCAAACTGACAGTCCCCAAAGACTGAAATCTCAGAAACATAATTCTGGAAAGAATGCTATAAGATTCTTTAAAAATGTATTTATTGTAGAAACAAAGTCCCACCAAGTTGCCAGACTGGTCTCGAACTCCCTGGACTCGGGCAATCCTCTTGCTGCCTCTTCCCAAAGTTCTAGGATCACAGGTGTGAGCCACTGTGCCCAGCCGATTCTTTAAAGATATATTTATATGCATTTTCAAAGGGGATTTATTTAAGAAACATAAAAACACAGCAGAACACTTCATAGGTTGCTTGATACAATAAAATAGGCAGTAATAATATCTATGTTTTTGCAAGCATAAACAATCAAGTATGCTAATGACAGTCACAGGGGTGTGGCAATTATGAACAGGTGAACTGTACTGTATTCATAAAGATAAATGTCAAAAAGAGAAGTGTGTAAACACATGTCACTATGTTGTGCACCTGGATTTATAACATGATGAACAACCTAAGTCTTTTGACAAGATCCACCAAAACCAGTGAGCCAAACCCACATATACAGTCACCCAAAGAGCTGAGATCTGGAGAAATTTTATCTTTCACAAATGCAGATGGACGAAAAGGACATCTCGGCATTTGTTGAGGAAGTTTCAACATTTTTATGTTCACGAACAATGCTTACACACAAAGTCAATGTCGTGATAATGCATTTTTATGCAGTCAGATTTGCAAAGAAATGCACAAAACAAATTAGAACTCTTTAAAGGTCTCTCCACAATTTATACCTGAGGCCAGTAACGTGACCAGGGCAAAAGCCTCAGGACCTGGGGGTGGTGAGTCTTGGAGTCCAACGACTGGCAAGCCTGGAGTTCTAATGTTGCAGGAAGCAGAGGAAAAGTCTGCCCTGGCTCTCAGAGAGAGACAGAGTCACGTTATGGATTTGCTCTCTCTAGGTTGCTGGCTGATCTGAGGGTGCCTTCCACCCTGGGGGGGGCCTGCCCTCCCCCTCGTCCCCTCAGATTCACACCCTAGCCCCTCGGGAGACACCCTCCCAGATACACCCATGACAGCGCTGCATCCGGTCTCGGGTTATTCCTTGCTCCAGTCAAGGTGATGCCCCAAATTAAGCCCACCCCTTGGCACCCACACATGTCTCCTTAAGCTCCCAATAAAGGCCATCTCAAGGTCCGAGTTCCATCTAACGTGATGCAGCCGTCCTGCGATGGTGATTTTCAAGAGTCTAGACATTAGGGGTTTTGATCTTTTGAGATTTCGGGATTGATGTGTTTGGGATTGAGTCTTTCAACTACGATCCAAACTCGAGTGAGGAAGGTGAAGTGCAAGCCCCCGGAATGGGAGACGGGTGGAGGGTGGTGGCTCAGGAGGGACCACCGGCCCCAACCCACCGACTCTCTGCCCAGAGCAGGCGGCCACCATGTGCTGGGCCTGAGGGCTTCCCCTTGGGAGTACAGCCCTGTCTCCGCAGAGTCCTGGAATGAGACGATGTCAGGCACCACCATGCAGCCCTGTCGGGGCTGCCCAGCTCTGCCTGGCGCCGTCCACAGTGTGGCCGGATTCTGTGTCACGACTCTTCCCAGACGAACAACGATCCCTCCCAACGTGTGCTCTCTAACCGAAGCCATGGACGGCAGATGCTCTCCGGGAAGGAGTCACTTGAGTCTCCCTGGCTCTGGCGTTCTGCCTTTGAGTGACACAGGCCCTTCCACACTACCGGCACCCCGTCCCCTTCAGGAAAACTAACCTCTGAATGAGGCTGTGCTCTCCCCTGCGAAAGCCATGACATGCAGGCAGCGCCCAAGCACTCAGCACCGTGAAGGGAGGAGAGGGCTGGTGTCCTCAGGAGGGGAAGACATCCATCCTGGCCCAACGTCAGGCCAGCAGGTGCAGGGACAGACGGGCCGGCCGTGTTCTCTAGGATCCGATTCTACCTCAGCCAACACGCCGTGGCAAGATGCCAAGAAAGGGCCTGACAGGCAGCCATGAAACGTGTTTCTAGAGGAGAGGCCAGCACGGGAAAAGGGTGAATCAGGTCATGGCAAACTGCCAGAGAAGGCCCGTCTGTACAGAGCTCCATGAGGGAGAGGAGTGAGGGCGCCAGCTGTGGCTCACGGAGAAGACAGCACCGGAATTGCAGACAAGGCTGCAGTCCTGCACGGGGACGCTGGCTTGGTGCCACGCCAATTGCTGGATGCTTGGTTTCGGCCTGGAAGATGCTCCTGTTCGCCAGGGCTCGCTGAGGCCTGCTGTGTGCAGGATGCAAGCTGCACGTCGTAGGCTCAAAATGGTGCAGCAGCGCTCCTGCCCGGACTCATCCCGACCTGGGAGCCCTGCTGGCCCCACCTCCCAGGACCTGCGCTCAGGACCACAACAGGCTGGCTGAGCCTTGCGGGTGGCGCCTGGATCAGCCCCCCTGCTTCCTGAATCGGCCTAAATACAGTTATCAACCTCGTTTTTCAGACCTGGAGACAGAGGCACGGGGCACTGATGTGACTTACCCGTGGACTCACCCAGCTCATGTGTGGGGTGACCGGTTTGGGGCCCGCTCTCCAGCAGACTCCAGAGCCTCTCCATGCGCTCTCGCAGCGAGAGCCCTGCTCAGAGCCCTCCCCTTCTTCCCTTCAGGCCTCAGATGTCTGAGCACCTGGGGCTGGCCCCCTGCCGGCAGGCTGAGAGGCCAGAGAGGCCACCCTGACTCAATCTCAGCCCTGTGGCTTCCTGCAGCCCTGGATGGAGTGGGTGCTCAGTAAACATAGTTGGCAGAATGAAGTGTCAAAAGCTGTGCACGGTTTTCTGATTTCTTGTTGGCCATGAGCCTGTGTCTGGAGAGAAACAGAGCCGAGGTCTGAACGCAACTCTGGCTAGGGAGCCAGACATTTTCCCCGTGGCAGGGGACAAAGCGTGTCCTTGTCATGTCTTGTGGTGACACCGTGACTCGTGGTAATGAACCCAGCCGGACTCCAAAGTGCTAAGAAAGGCAGGAACCAAGGTGGTCTGGGCATGGAAGGGAGGGCCTGGGTCAGGAGGGAGCTCAGAGGTCACCCGGGGGCCGTGTTGGGCATGGTCTGCAGTGATTCAGCTGTAGAGCTGCAGACACCAGGAGCCAGGGCCGTGCTTCCTGGGAGGACCCGCGGGTCTCCCAGCTCCCCACCTGGGAGTTCCGGACAATCCCAGCACCCGGAGAGTCTCATTCAGCCGTCTGGGGTGGGGGTTCCCAGAGTGGCCTGCTGGCCGTGCCTTGCTGGGGAAATGGAGGAGGGCCGTGTGATCTCTGCCAGGGGAGGTCCCACTGCACACCCACCCTCAGGCCGCTGTGTTCCCTGGTGGGAAGGGTTCAGGCAGTGCCAGCCTAAACGGGTTCCAGGGTGACCCACCAAAAGAGGGACCTCAGGGCTAGTTTTGGGGACAAGTGTGTAGCCCAGTTCTGGGAGTGAACAAGGTCAGCTGGGCACTCCCTCACCGATGCGGTGGTGACAACAGGTTTTCCCACGTGAGGGAAAATCCTGAGAAGTGGTCCAGCCATCCCCAGCTCACAGCTGTCCCACAGAGCTTGAGTGGCTCGCCCAAGGTCCTACAGCAGTGGCCGGGAAGAGGGTTGTGCACTGGGCTGTGCTGGGAGGCAGGGAACACAGGAGGGTGGGTGGGCGGGGTGGCTCGGAGAAGGAGGAATGATGCAAGAAGAGTCTTGGTATCTTTGCTGGTTTTCTGTTTTATTTTGCTTTCTGGAATGGAAATAAATGCATGGGACACAAAACTCAGAAGGCACGGAAGGGGAAACGGTGAAAGTCAAGTCTCCATCCTTCCGCACCCCACCCCTCTGTTGTCACAAAATTCATCCACACTGTCAAAAGACGAGGAGTCCACTTCTGCCTCAGGTCTGTGCCACCTTCCTGTCTGACCCAGATTTTGTTGCCGGTCTCATTGGCTTTTATTTTGAATTTGCAAATGGGACATTCCCCATTCTAGGAAATAGAAGGAGGGCCCAGCGGGGCAGCGGCCAAACTGTGGGTTTTGTGGGTGGGAACAAGGAACCGGAATAGGGAAAAGCAGACGGTTGGCCTCAGGTGACTGCAGTTGACTCTCTTGTAAGGCCTGAACCAGAGGGATGTCTTTGCTACGCCGTCTCTGGGAGGCTGGAGTCCCTGTTTTCAGGAAAAACTGGTCTGCTTTGAGATCTCTCCTCTTCCTTAACGTTCTGCTCGATGATAACGGTGCTTTGCACGAGTGACTCCGCACTGGTCTGGTCGGGTCTGCCAGGGCCCAGGGCAGGAGCTCGGCCCAGAACACTGGGCTCCCACGGGTTCCGCAACACGGGCGACACCCATTCAGACATGCCAAGGCCAGGCGCCCTCTTCCTCCCTTTCCTTCTCAAACTCCGGGTAACTCCTCAGACTGAAGGTGCTTCCTACTTCATGACATGCACACATGAACTTCAACCCCTTTCTGCTGCCTGAAACGTGCTCCCAGTTTAGCAGGGACTGCAGTAGGCAGCCCCCTCCTCCTGCACGCCTGCACAGTGGTCCCCCGGGGGGAGCAGGTCTCTTCACCAACAAGAAAAAGCCAGATAAAGTGAATTGTCTGAGAACTGAGGTTGTCAGGCAGAAGAGAAACAGAGCAACAGACACTGGTCTGGAGCAG